GAGGGAGGGAGCCAGCGCTAGACTGCAGTGAGTTGAGACTTGAGTCGACTTCAAGGGGACCGGCTGAGAAGCCCCGCCATGTTGCTGAAGTAGCCCTGTGTGTTGGAGAGTAGGCTGCTCACTATGTGCACCACACTTATCCCATCCCAGGGACACACCAGATGACAGAGGCCCAGCTGTTCTCTACATTACCTCCCTGACAGAGAAATGAAACCACCTCTCAGAAAAAAGGAACCTGCCTTTTGAAGGAAAAAAAAAACTGCACCTATCCCCCATCCCAAAATCTTTGTAAACAAGAGATAAACCAAATTCAAAAGCTGAGGGCCTTGCTCTTGCATCTGGAGCCTGACATAGGTTAGACACTTAAGTTCTTACTGATCAATTTAATGTAAAACCCGGTGAGCACACTGCTTCAAGGCTGTTGTTAAAGCTTTACCGTTGAGTTAACCATTAACATCCAAGCAACCTGAATCTCAGAAAGTCTATTTATTTTGATTACCTAGTTCAGGGAGTGTTTTTATTTATTTTTTTTTAATGTAGCTTTAAATAGAAAGAACCCTGAGTAAAGGTAGATGGAAGGGCCAGGCAGGTTCTGACTCACTCAGTGGTCAAGCCTTGTTAGATGGTGGAATGAAAGGGGTTGAAATGCGGCATTCTGGAGCCACTGTGTTTCAGGAATTCAGAATCCAACATCTGCTATTCCGTGACTCTTTGATCTCAGGCAAATCACTCCAGGCCTCCATTGCTTTGTGTCTAAGTGGGTATAGCAGGGTAATTCCTGATGGAGGGCTCAGGGTTCAATGAGTAATAAAATAAAGAGCTTGCAATAGCTCCCGTCCAGGGCAGGTCCTCAGCAAAGGTTAGCAACAGTACTTCGTTTCAGTGGCAAGAATGACGACCTTCAATTGCTCACGTTCTCAATGAGGCAACTGGCCATACAGAACCCACCTAGCTTTGTATCTGGATATTATTGTCATGTTTAGTTTTCACAGCTAGCAACCGCTGCTAAAAATATAAAGTAAAAAGTTCATTAGACCGGCTTTACCAGTTGATCTCTGTCAATGCTGTGCGCAATCTGCAAGTGATTAGCATTCATTTTTATTACTCCTGTTAAATTGTAACAGGCTTGTTATCTCACCCTGGGTGTGGCTTCCACTCCGAATGCTGTCAGCTCTGTTCAGCATCCTATTTCAGTTATGCTGAGAAGTGAGATGGTAAGAAACTCGCCTTGCTCTCTCGCTCGTAAGACAGGAGTTACTAATTTCTTAGAGTCTTACGGGTCTTTAAAAATATGGGGGGAGAAGGTCAGCAAAGAAGTAGGCTTTAACCCAAGTGACTAAAAGGACAGGATGTTCTTTGTTCCCTTGGGGGGCACAGAAGGAAACGAGACTAAATTTGATGTTATGAGTTCTCATGTTCACAAATTGATGTCTTAGGTTTATGTGTCCTAGTAATCATGCCCTGCTTTGGATAAGTTCGCTCTGAACGTTCAGTCTAAAGGTAGAGATTCAGTAGTTGAGACAGCGACATAGAAACTGTACGGGTTGAGAGAGTTTCCAGGGAGGTACCTATCTTAGGCATAAACACAGGGCGGTTGTGAAATGGGATCCAAGGGTCACACCCGGCACTTCTCTCCCTTCCCTTTTAGGGGTGTGACTGATGGCAGGTCCCTAGAGCTGTCACTGTGCCTGATAGCAGACAGTTGCACTTCAGGGAAACTTTAGGTGTTACTGCTCCCAGGAAGGACTTGTTATGAAGTCTCTGCCTCTAATTGTAGAGATTTGTGTCACCAGGTCTTAGTGTATAGGACAAGGAACTGAGGCCACTTTAAGGAAGACAAGAATTCCCTGCAGGAGTAAGACTCACAGCTTATTCTGAAGGAGAAACTGAATAGTCTGGCCTGGGAAAGGACAGGGTGCCGAGCCAGGACAGATGATCTTTGAAGTCTTATCTGTTCAGATTCTCTACAGGGACCTCCCCTGAGCAGGACTCTGATCTCCGAAGTCTTTGTGTCGTTCTGCCTCACACTCCCATGCCAGGGAGGGAACATCTGGTTGGTCCAGCTTGGGACCCACCCCTGTCACAGGAAAGGGCAGGAATGGTGTGGAAAGGGGGTTCCTTGAAAGATATTGGGGCGCCCTTCCCAAGAAAGGAATGAATGTTGTGCAAGCAAAAATACATTTGCTGCCACCATCAAGAGAATTTCACAGACCTATACACACAAGGACATCTAGAATAGTCCAGCACTTGGGCAGCCAGTTTTCTTCATACGCCAGAACCTTCTAAAAGACTCTATTCTGCTCTCCAAGGATCATTTATAAGTCAAATGAAATAGGAGAGACTTCAGGATTCCTTCCCTAGTTTTCTCTCTAAAGCTGTTAAACAATATGCTATAACTTCACAGCATTGAAGAATATCATATGTGTGTATATGTGTATGTATGCATGTATGCATGCACATATGTAATCCAGGGCAGCCTTTAATTCATGATCTTTCCACCCACTGAACTGTGATTTCTAAAGTGAACATTTGTGTGAACACAGATAGAGCTAAACTACTGTACTGGCCTGCAGTCCCCAGCTATCTGCAGCGCTGGTCCTACGGTTTCCTAAGTGCAGCCCAGGCCACAAAGAGCAGAGCTTGGTAGGGATGGCTTAAGGTAAATGAGCTGGCCAGATTTTGATGTCACTTAACTTTGAGACCTACTGAACCAGATCAAAAGGAATTTCCAAGTGTTTACTGAGCTCCTTCCGTGCTCTAGACTCTAAGAATACAGCAGCGAGCAAGATAAACCAGGCGCCCACTCTTCCTAGACTTAAGGAGAGGAAATGACTTGTGAATAAGTGTTACAAAACAACAGCAATAACTTTAGGGTGGAGCAGAAGAGAAGATGGAAATCTCAAGTCTAACAGAATGTTCACTTTGCTTGATAAACTTCAAACTTCAAACTTGTTACTCCTCAAGTCTTCTTCATCTCAGGTCTTAGTGCGTAAATTCTCCCAGGTCCTTGGACCAAAGGCCTGGAGCCTGAAACTCCTCTTCCTCTCCCTTCCCTCACTTACGCTGTACACAGCATCAGCAAGTCCTGTGGGCTCTGCCTCCAACAACAACGCTGAAGCATCTGCCTCCTGCTTCTTGCCAAAGCTACTCCATGCAAGACCCCAGTTACTCCTCCTAATGTGATGTCAATGGTTTCCTACCTGGCTTTCCAGCTTCTAACCATATGTATGTAGCCTTTATTCTCTGTACAGCATCAAGACAGAGATTTCAAACAGACATGAGACTCCTTCCTTGGCCTGAAGCCTTCTGAAAGGCAAACACATCCCTCCTGGGATCTACCAAGTTTACATGATCCAGCCCTTGCTTAGCTCTCCAGCCTCATGGCCAGCCTCCCTCCCCTCCATCACGGTGTTCAACTGCCCTGCCTTTCAAGCAGGCCAAGCTGATCCAGTTTTACGAACTATAAACCTACCTGTCCATTCGGCTGCCTGACTCCAGACCATTTGGGTCTCATCTCATCCTAACAGCAGCCACGCCCACCCCTCCCTCACCCCTCCCCCGCCCTGTCCAGAGTGTTTCATTTCCATCATCTCTTTATCTGTGACATTTCTCCCCACTTACTTCCACTCGAACGTCTGTGCTTTCTCAATGCAAGAAAGTGTTTTGAGCGAAGAGATCTTTGTTTTGTTCATTGCTCTGTCCCTAGCACCAGAAAAGCTCATAGCAGGAGGTCAACCTCTGTTGCTGCCTTGGGAAGTGAAGGTAGATTAATAGAAAGTATTGGAGGCGGGCCACCTAGGCTGTCAGGGAAGGAAGCTCTTTCAGGGTTATGTGTCTCATGCTCCTGGGCCTCTTGGCTAGATAAGGGCAGGGTTGTGGGTTTGTAGACCACAGAAATTCTAACTTCGTTTTCACTAACTCTACACTCCAGACAAACAGGTTTATTGCTGTCCGACTGACATACTCCCTTCCCCCTCTTCTTCTGTCCCTCTTGAGTGAAGAGACTGAGCCATGAATTCACCCTGCCTACATTCCTGAGCATAGTTCTGGGTGACCTGACCTTCAAAACGTACAGGCACCCCTGTGCCCTACTTACCCCACCATCAAAAGACCATTCTTGAGACAGACATTTACATTTTGGTGAAATTTAGGTCAAGGCTTTACTGCCCCCACGAAAGTCCTG